ATACGGCTGGTGCATAATTTTGCAGGATTGCTTGATCTTCCTGGAAGAAAATACAAATTTTCATGCGTTAAAGGAATTCAGAACTAGCAACCGTTTCTGTTTTCAGTGGAAATCAAGCACAAATTTTTATAAAATAACAAACACAACGATGGTTTTCTCTTTGTCGCAAAAACCGAAAATGTGAATACGCCAGAAGAAGCAAGCTAAAACCCGGCCAAGCCTCATTTGTTTCTTGCCAAAATTAAAATTGGGATTCATTTTTTTAAAAAAAATCATCTAAAAGGTTTTCTTTAGTACTGCCCCCTTTTCTTTTTTTCTTTTCATTTCTTTCTTCTGAATCATTCTTTTCTTTCACTCTAGCCTTATTTTTGTCTTGAAAATTAGTCATATGAACATTCATCTATTGGGTAAGAGGCTGTACTGATGATTCCCACTTCTATCCGAAAGCAGGGCTCTGTATGTTTTTACAGTCAAGTAATGAAAAAAAGACTGCTTTTTCATGCACTTATTAAATATACAATTTGCAATTTCACTGCCTTCCATCCTATTATTAACTCTGAAGTTATCAATTTCAATTATGCATTTCTTAGACCTTTGTTCTCCTAACTGTTTTTTTAGTCACAACGTTAAAAGAACACAGGGAAGGCTACCAGTGTGGCGAAAGGATCTGTCTGAACTGCTATTCAGAATTATACGGATGAGAGAAGCCTAAAATAGAGAAGAATGGAGGAGTTGCCAGCTACATTAGTGGCGAGAAACACAAAAATGAAACAACAGCTGGACAAAAATACAAAGTCCATCATCCGAATCTCACAAATATTAAATTTCATAATTCTTAGTCATTTTTTCAAGTTTTCGGAAAAAAATAAAAGAAAAAACGAGCATAAATTATTTTAATCGTTTAAGCGCATAAAACTAACGAATGTGTTTTTTTTTAACCCACAGTATCAGGATTTCTTAAATTCATTAGACAATGTCTGGAAGAAACAGAGACAAGAAAATGCAGACGCGGCATAGCTGCGCCTAGTGTTTGGCTAAATCTTGGCAGCACCGAGGTACCTATACCGATGGACCTGGGGTTTGAGATATGAAAAAATGCACTGGCAGCAAATAAAAGGCTTGTTTCTCGATTTGACAAAAGTTAATATTTAAAAACTAAATCCTTACTGGGTGCGTACAAGTAAAATTTTCCACCTTGATTGAGAAAACATCGAGTTCAGCACCGCCACCCAGATAATCG